TTGCGTTGACTGAAAATACAATTTAATGATGTTCTTACTGTTGAGACAAAAGTCAGAGGACATTGTCTATGGATGCCTTTAGTTCAATATTGATGTAAACTGTTTAGTGCACAACGATAATAAGGTTTAGTGGCCAATATTGAAATTATGGAGTATTATTGTACATTGCAATAGGCCCATAAGTAAAGATAAGTTTTCATAAATCAAAATGAAACCTGTTTTAAGACAAAGTGGACAATTTCTATAGATGAATTTATGTTGATGTACATGTTTAGCGACTGAGCTACCAAAAATTTGGCCCTAGTTTAGGCATGAATTTACAGTATCTGTGGCTGTGCTGAAGAATTATATTGTTTGCTTGCAGAACTTTTCAATCGTTGCTGGAAAAGATTTTCTTCCTGCATTTTTGGTTATAACTAGGGGCAGACCCAGAAGGCAGTCCAGTGGGGACGAAACCAAAAGACCTTAAAAAAATTTGCAGAAGAACTGAAAATCTGAAAATCGAATGGGCGGCCTACCCTGTTGGACCCCAAGTAGGTCTTCCCTTGGTTATAACATTGTTTTTTAGAAGTGATATTTTGATTAATTTGCTGGGAAAATGTCATTCCAAAGATGTATGCAATTTAAGTTCTATTTCCATATGAAAATAACAAATCACAAAAGGAGATGAACTGATTGCAAACTGGACAAAATCTGCACACAGCAAGGGAGTGATAAATGCACTTTCTACAGACCTAAAAATATTTCAATAGACTAATTTAGTAAGAGTAGATTAAGTTCTATATATCTAATTTGCACAAATTATAACCCAATAAATATCATTAGGTTAAAATCAAGAATTCCACCCATTTCTTCACCTCCTTGCAATCACGTCAAGCAGCTGGCTCTCCGCCAAACCGCTCATCATTTGCTTTAAATTCTGGAATTGTGAACCTTGCATCTCGAGACAAGGTACTAGGATTAATATTATATTGATGTAATTTTATAATTTAGTTTTATGTTTTTTTTCCTATAATAGGCTAATTTCATCCTTTTAGAATTAAATTCTACAAGATTCACAATAGATGTGTGTGTGTGTGTGTGAAATTGATCCTTTATTCCTTTCAATGGTCATCTAAATTAGCTGCCATTTGGAAATTAACTTCTCGAATGGACAATGTAAGTTTCATAAATTTAACCTATAATAATAACTCGTGCGACGGTATTATTATCATTAAATCTTGCTATATGTACATTAAAATTTACATTATACATTACATAATGTTACATGGCAATCTACCATTCGTCAGTTTAAAACAAAATCAATTTTTTCATCCAATTTTTTCCCTTCATATCGAATTATGTAATCCATTACGTATATTTTTTTATGTACAAGTAGCAAAATCCTTAAATTAGCGCTCTTTGAATTTTTATTTTTATTATTATTATTATTTTGTCCACTCTTTATACTAAAATTTTAATATGCTCATTTAACATTTTATAATTTAGCCATCCGATTCTGAATGCAAGCCAATTTTCTCCTTTTTTTTTACAATATTTATTTCTCAAAGATGCATGCTTTCAATTGCTGGAAACTTCATTTTACCTTACAATATTCCACCGATCTTCTGCACTTGCTTGCTGACTTTATAAAATTTAGAAACTAATTTCTTCTTACGAATTTTTGGTTATCTATTTAATCTCCTAAATGATGTATCGAGGGAGGGATTATTCTCCAAAGTGAAATTTCTTTTTGGACTAGATATATTGCTATGTGCTAACTATCAACTTAAGTGGCCTCATCAGTTTAAGAGAAAATGCATTAGATGTTATGTTTTAGTACACTGTTTATGTAGGCATGCGTAAGTGGAAAGAATAAGGCTTCTTGTACATTGTTTGCTTGACATATAGTCTGACACTCCCTTATTTTTAAATGTTTTCAAAAATAGAGTTGGCAGGAAAGTGTGTTTTTTTTCAAAAACTGTCTAATATGATGTCGTCACGTGGCACAATGTAAAACTTTATGTCAAATTCAATGTACTTGTAGCATGATTCAAGTGAACATTCGAAAGATTTAAAAAGCCTATATTAATTGTATGACAATGCACAATATTTAATTGATGCACACTTCACCATATTTGAGGATTGAGGTATTTAGATGCTTGGAACACGTTTAGGTAGTATAATTATATTTTCTTTATCATAGTTTAAAAAGGGAAAATAAATGAATGAATGGTGATTAACTAGAATCCTTGACACGTTAACTTTGTGGGCGGTTAGAGTCATTATCACTTGTCATCGTTTCCAAATGTCAACGATTCAAGAAATATTTTAAAAAGATATGTATCCCGAATATTTTATTTATTTATTATTATTATTTTTTTAAGAGGTGTATGCCTACACCATAAAAGATGTGTGGGAAATGGGATGTAGGGGGCTGTCGCATCTAATTAATGTTTAATGTTTAATGTTTAATGTTAATGTTAATGTTAACTGTTTTGCTATACTACCAATAGATTTATCGGGTTCCAAATAACAATGGCCCTCTGCATTCTAATTGGTTAGGCAATACATTAAGTGAGTTCACGATATAAATGTTATAAAAATTATTTTTTCAAAATTTATTCTTAATCACACATTTTCCTATAAAATAATTTTACATGTAAATAATATATATATATATATATATAT